TGCTGGACGAAACTCAAGAGGGTAGAATGTACCCTTCTTATTTCAAATACTAGAACGCTAGCTTTGAGAGTCATGACACAGATAACGGACCCAAACCCAGAGCGGTTCATGAGATTTTTGATCTTCACGTTCATCAGCAGAATCAAACTTGCCATCCACGGCCCTTTTCTACATGATTCTTAGACCAACCAGAAACCAATACTTACTTTTCTAAGGCTTCTGGGAAGGATGAGTTAGCATTTCCTTTTTTTTTTTTTTTTTTTCCCTCCTCTTTGTATTTGTTTCCTTTTCCTTTGTTAAGTCAGTAAGTGAAGGGGGAAGAAAACAAACTAAATTCCTGGTTACAAGGTACTGCTGTGGGTTCAAGGAACACCACAGGAATTAAGTGCTAGCCCCTTGTTCTTAAACGTGTACGATAGGTCAAAGACAAGCTGTGGCGCCATCTGCGTGTGACCCCCAGAGTGACAGTGGCACTAACTCACATGCAAACAGAAGGCATGTGCGACTGTTAAACAACAGACAGAGTACACTCTAAGACCTCTACGTGGAAACATGGATGCGATAGCCTTCCCCAGGGATCCACAGAGCAGATTTTGTGTATGAATTAAAGCGAGGCTTTGTCCCTTCCTTGCCCAGGTCATCGTTTGTTGGTTCGTTTTTCCTCTCTCTCCTCCCCAGGCTCTTACTGGCTCTTGCTCCCTGGCTCTGGTCCTCACTCTCCCCTGGGGACTCATCCAGGTTAGGCTGCCCGAAGCCCCTGGCCTTTTGGAATCTGTTTTGAGACAAGGCAGCACTTGGATGTCTGGCCGGCCTTGAACTCACTCTATAGTCCCGCCTGGCCTCAGACTTCAGCTCCTCCTACCCCAGCCTCCTGAGAAACAACCAGGCTCATGTTATTGTTCCTTCCATGCTCTTGTCGTATGGGTATTTTTAGCATAATTAATACTCAAGTTGGAATGTTTGTAAATTTCCTTGATCTTTTTTTATTCTGTCATTCTATTTCATGCTTGGCTATCCTGCTAGTGTTTCTGTTTGTTTTGTTTTTAAAGTATTCAGTTTTTACTTTATGTAAACAGCATCTTTAAGCCCTTGTCTCTCTGAGAATGTTAATACTTATAAATTGTTATTATTATTTTGGTTTTTCAAGACAGGCTTTCTCTGTGTAACGTTGGAGCCTGCCCTGGGATTCACTCTGTAGACCAGGCTGGCCTCGAACTCACAGAGGTCCTCCTGCCTCTGCCTCCCAAGTGCTGAGACTGAAGGCCTGCCCCACTAACACCTGGCTGGTTTACAAATTCTTTTTCTTTTTCTTCCCCTTCCCCAATTTGCTTCCCTAAGTCCCCACCCCGTGCAGCTCTAAGAGTTTCTCAGATGGTTGTCTGCTCATTTAACTTTTTTTTAACATTTGTCTGTTTAGTGTGTGTGTGTGTATGTGTGTGTATGTGTGTGTGTATATGTGTGTATGTGTATGTGTATGTCTGTGTGTGTGTGTATGTGTGTGCATGTGTGTGTATGTGTATGTATGTGTGTGTATGTGTATGTATGTGTGTATGTGTATGTGTGTATGTATGTGTGTGTATGTGTGTGTGTATATGTGTGTGTATGTGTATGTCTGTGTGTGTATGTGTGTGTGTATGTGTGTTTATGTGTATGTATGTGTGTGTATGTGTATGTGTGTGTGTGTATGTGTGTGTATGTTTGTATGTGTATGTGTGTGTGTATGTGTGTGTTTATGTGTGTGTTTATGTGTATATGTGTGTATGTGTGTTTATGTGTATGTGTGTATGTGTGTTTATGTTTATGTGTGTGTGTGTATGTGTTTATGTGTATGTGTGTGTATGTGTGTATATGTGTGTTTATGTGTATGTGTATGTGTGTGTGTGTGTGTATGTGTGTATGTATGTGTGTGTGTGTGTATGTGTGTGTGTATGATGGGAGTGCATGAATGTGGGTGTGCACATGCTAAGCCATGTGTGGGAGGAATCGGAAAACAACGTGTGGGAGTTGTTCTGTCCTTTCGGCACGTAGGTCCGAGGGATGGAACTGAGGCTGTCAGACTTGGCAGCGAGCTCTGGCTTTTACCTGCTCACGTTGGCGAGTGGGACGCGGAAGGGCTCTGAGAACTGCCCGGTCAGTGGGGAAAGTCGGAGTCGCCTCGGGACCCACCATATACTCAGTCCCCTAGGCAGTACCTTTGCTCTCAGAGGCCCATGGCGCAAGGGGCGTTCACCGCCCAGCCTAGGCTGGGCGTGGGTCTAACAACCGTCTTCTGGAAACCAAACAGAAGAGGGCTGGGGGTGTGTCAGCGGTAAGACTTGACACCCAGTAGTCACCTCTAGCCAACCCCGGGTGGAGGTCGCACCCTGCCCCAGTCCTTTGTTCAATAAGTTGGGAGGAAAGGGTGCCCCTCAGTGGTGTGGAGTGGTGAGAGGGTCTGAGACTCAGACCCCTTTCCCTCGGAACACCTGTTTCTCTGTTTGCCCTGTGTGGGTGAGCTGGGAGCCTGTAGAACTCTGCAGGTGGGTTCTCTGGCACTGGCTTTGGTTTGGCCCAGCCATTTCCCCTGCCCACCAGTTCCGGAGCTCACACTTTCCCTGCCATCCCCCTCCCTTTGCTCCCCAGGTTTTAGGGTTAGCTCTGGCTTGAATTGGAGGGAGGAGTGTGGCTCTCAGCAACTTTAATTCTTTTGTGTGTCCTGCTTTCTCACACAGCTCGGTCATACAGTTGTTAACTCTGTCTGCGGCCCGCTAGCTCTGGGACTGTCAATAACTTATTTATTTATCTTTGGATCGTGCCTTTTTTTTCTCATCTGTAAAATTGGAATATTTATTGTCCTGCCTGCCTGCCTGCCTTCTGACCCAGTTCAGTAGCTTGCCTGAGCTACCACTCAGATAACTCAGTTAACTTTCCAAGGAGAAAAGCTTGTTCATGCAGAGGTTGGACAATGTCAGACTCCAGGGTGACGTGAAAATCTTCTCCAGGTCAATGAAAACGCAGTCGGGATCTCTGTTTTCACCCTGTTTCCACATCAACGATTTAGAACAGGCCTTTACCTCAGTTATTGATACCCTGTGGGAGACACAGAAGTTTACCTAAGCTGAGAGAGAGAGAGAGAGAAGGCAGCCGCCCTCCCTCACCTGAGACCTAGATGACCAGCGTCTGCTCAGAGCTTTTGAAAAAACATTATTTTCTCCATTACCCTGCTTTTCTGACCCGTCCTGATTTCTTCTAAGTAAAACACTTTGTTCTCGTCTTTCAATAAACGTCGCCTCCTATTTTTTATGGTTGGCATTCTCTTTAGACTCCCTGCCTTACCAACCCACTGCTCCATCTCTGGCCAGTGTGGACTCCCTCGACATGACTCCCCATCCACTCAGCTCCCTAGGCAATATCTTGGCTCCCAAGGGTCTATAGAGCCTGGGGACAATATAGAACTCCCAGGCATTAAAGTCAAGATAGAATTTGGCCTCCAGAAGAGAGACCAAATAAGCTTGCTGGGGTCACAGTGGACGGGACCCAGAAGCCGCCATGGGATGAAGAGGGGATGAACCCCGGAAGGGTTGCTGACTTTAAGTACCTTCCGCTTAAGGCACTAGACTTCCCAGTGAGAGAACCGGACTCTCCCCCTTCCCATTTGCCCTTCAAGAAAATAGAGGGTAAAGTATCCATCACAGATTATCCTGTTCCTAGGAACCAATCCACGTGGCCTCATCTGTCCCACTGAGAACTTTCTCCACTGACAAGGCAGCTTGTGGTGAAAGAGGAAGGGATTCCAGTCAGGGCTGGTGGCAGTGCGTGTGCCTGTGGTGACGGGAATGAAGGGGCAGGCAACGCACAGTCCCCAGGAACCGGGAGTGGCCCGTGGGCAGGGACATGCCTGCCTTTCCAGCTGTGGCAGGGGAGTGGCCCCTGGGCAGGGACATGCCTGCCTTTCCAGCTGTGGCAGGGGAGTGGCCCCTGGGCAGGGACATGCCTGCCTTTCCAGCTGTGGCAGGGGAGTGGCCCCTGGGCAGGGACATGCCTGCCTTTCCAGCTGTGGCAGGCTATTCAGGAGGCTTGGCTCACGTGTTGGCAATGCCATCAAACGACTCTTTCAGCAAAGCTTCGCCTGGCTCGGTTGGCAGTCTGAGCAATCTGCACAGTGCTGTGTGGTAACGAGGCTTCCTTGGCGACCCACAGAAGTGTGCAGAATGTTCCTTCCGCCTGGCTGGGCCAGGCCTGCTGTGTGCTCTGGGAGGTAAAGGAGAGCCGGGCAGGGCAGGTGTCTGCTCGGCAGTCCCCATCAAGACCTCTGCCTCTGGGACTAACTGTCCAGCTGCTGCAGGATCCTCCTTCCCAGGTGGGAGGGCCAGCTGCTGTTGGCCCTCGGTATCTGTGCCTCCCACTTTTAACCAGATTCTGTTGTCTGGGGCTGACAATGTCTGATTTCCCTTGTCAGAGCAAAGGCTAAATCTTGAGTCAAATCATGCTCTGTTAGAGGCAGAGGTCGTGTGTGTGCATGCGCGCGTGCGTGCGTGCATGCGTGTGTCTGACTCTGGGACGGTTGGAGTGGTTGAAATGTAAGAAAGGAAAAGGATGGAGGCGTGGTCCCCTGACGAGTTACACAGATCCCCGAGCCCACGGAATCCCTGTCGCATTTGTTTCTCTGGGACAAAAGGAGATAGTTGGGGCAGCGGTGGATGTGAGATGCCTTGATTCCAGGCCAGACACTTTCTCTATCAGCCTGACATTTTTGCCCTTCCTTTGAGAGGGTCAAATACCCATGAGGTCCTCTAGAATGCTCTGTGATGCTGCAGAGGAGTCGGAGCCCAGGCAGCAGGCAAACAAAGTGGTTTTGCTCTTGCTTGGGAGCCCGGCTGTCACAGCACGATGGGCACAAGACAGTGGCCATCAGTGGCTCTTCCGTGGTGCCCCTCCCCCGCCCTCCTCCCTGCCCGCACCCAACCCTTTCCTGTCACAGGTGCTAACCTAACTGCTCCCTTCCTGCCTCCCCACAGACCTGCGTAGGATGACAGCCGGCTTCATGGGCATGGCGGTGGCCATCATCCTCTTCGGCTGGATCATCGGAGTGCTGGGCTGCTGCTGGGACCGAGGCCTTATGCAGTATGTGGCAGGCCTTCTCTTCCTCATGGGAGGTAAGGCTGCAGAGGGGAGGGGAGGGGAGGGCAGGCCGGGAAGGTCCTGTTGACTCCGTGGGGGGGGGGATGATAGAGCAGAGGGGCGTGGCCAATATGGTTCTTTCTGCTCCTTCAACTGTTTGTCCGTCTGCTCCTGTCTCCTGTTGACCGCTGTACCAGCTGTTGGGGGAAATGAGATACAGCCCTCGGTGTCTAGAGTCTCGGGGACCTCGGCGCTTAGACGAAGGCAGACGGCTGTGGCTGGGACACTCACATGACATCAGTTGGTGGGCTCAGACTTGGAAGCATGAAGCCAGGATGGGCTGGACATTTACACTCAGGTGCCCTGTATGGTAGCGTTAGGCCAAGGAAAGGGGCATTTCCTCTCCAAAGGCCCATGCTCATCCTTGACTTACTGCTTAGAACAAGGCAGCGGTGGGCCAAGACTAGAGCCTCCCATTCCCGTTCCCTTTACTTGCTACTGACAGAGCCTTTGAGTCAGCGCAGCGGCTGCTAGCAGTCTGCGCAGAGGGAACTGGGTAGCTATAAGGGAATGGGTTCTGGTCCGAGCAAACCAGAAAGCTTTCTCGCCGTCAGCTTGGGCATCTTCTTCCTTCCCTCTGGAGTTCCTGGTTTGAGGCTCAGCCTAGAGCTCAAGTTTTGGACCGCCTGGAAGAGGTGGACGGGCGACTTATGTGTTGTCTGGAGGGAGGGAATGAGTGCAGACGACAGACTTAGAAACGCTTGCCTTGCGGGAGGAAGAGAGAATGAGTCCCACGTGCAGGAGCAGATGTCAGTCTGGCTCCGGGCTCTGTGCAGGTGCCTGATCCGGTCTTTTTTGTGCCAGGTTCTAAGCCAGGAGAGAAAGATGGAGTGGGCTCTGGGACTCTTTACCTACGGGCCAGGTGGAGGGGTGGAGAAGCTGCCCTTCCCTGGGCACAGAACGGCATCTGGGACACAGAAAGCTCTGGTTTAGAAGAGGGAGGGGAAGAGGGCTTTGCAGGGAGGACTTGGGCCTGGAAGTTTTGTTCTGTTCCTTGAAGCACAGCTACTCTGTGCCTAACACCAGTGCGGGCTGATACCTAGGGGACTCTCCTGGCATCAGAAGTCAGGACGTGCCCACGTCAGATCGGCCACTCCTGGGGCCCACACCTGTGGTTAAGACTGAGAATGAGGGCCATTGTGGCTCTGCGACAGAGATTCCATATAGAGAAGCCACCATCCCCAAACACACTTATGTCCTGTGGGCTTCCCCTTCGTTCCGGGACTCAAAGTCCTTGGCGGTTCTCACACCGATTTTATAACTAGGGTCCCTGTTTCCCCTTGGTAATCAATCCACTCTTCATGTGGACCTCCAAAATATAAAAACAGATAAAAAATGGAGCATCTGTACCCTGTTTGTAGTAAGGCTGTATCCTGTTTGTGGTGAGGCTGTATCCTGTTTGTAGTGAGGCTGTACCCTGTTTGCTCTGTGGAGAGCCAGAACAGGCTCTGATGAGGGACTTTTCTAGGGCTGGAGAGATGCCGGGCAAACAGGCCTCAGGCTGAGTCCTGAGCGGGGCTGGGGCCATCTGTCTGTCTGTCTGTCTGTCTGTCTGTCTGTCTGTGATCTCTACTGCTTGCCTGGCATTTGCTGTGCCTGGGTGCTTTCTCCACTGGCCCTTCCCTTCAGGCAGGAACAAGGCTCAGAACCTGGTTCCTTTTAGCTCTGAGAACTTTCCAGAGCACTTCCGTTAACTTGTAGACTAACAGCCAGGATGCCATTGACTGGCTTCCCTTTTCTAGCCGGGCCACAGGAGTAGGTCAGACCATAAGTAGGCCAGGATTGAGTGATAGGGGCCAAGCTGAAAGCTGTAACTGCAGTCAGGCCACTACATTACCTCTACTCACTGAAGGCCGTAGGACAAAAGGTGGGAGGATGGAAGCGGCGGGCAGCAGGGTGCCTGGGCCCCTGTCCCCACACTGCTTGGGCACCTACCATATGTCTGGAGCTCCAGGATAGATTAGGAGCCGCAAACTAAACTCTGAAGGCCCACTGGTCCCCACAGCCACTTATAAGATAACCACTCAGAGACTTAGTATCAGTAACAATTGTTTGGCCAGTGGCCCAGCTCTCACGATTAAATTCACCCTTTTCTACTAATCTCTGTATCACCGCGTGGCATCACCGCGTGGCTGTGGCTTACCGGTGATGCCCTTTGGCAGCCACATGGCGACTCTCCAACTCTGCCTTCCTTCTCTCTGCATCTTTGGAATTACCGCCTAGCTATGTTTTTCCTGGCCATTGGCTAAAGCAGCTTTATTCGTCAGCCAATAATAGCAATGCACATTCACAGCACACGGAAGGGCCTCCCACATCAAGCTTTGCCTTCCTAAGCCCAGGAAGTCCTTACCCATCACAAGTCAGAGGTTCCTGGAAAGCTTTGACTAAGCACTGATGCCTGCCAATCAGGAACACGCCCACAGAGCTTTTGCACATGGGTACTCTCCATGTGCAAATAGAGCCAAGAACCATTGAGACGGGTAAATTCTGTAATCCTTCCTCATATGGCACAGGGAGCACACATGTACACACGCATGCACCCATGCATGCATGCCTTGATCTTTATGACTGCTTCTTTAAGTTATGCAACAAGAAATAAGATAGTGCCAACGGCCCTCAGTGTCTGGGAGGCCTACCCAAGGTCTGACTCCTGGGTGGTGGCCACCGGCTTTACAGAAGCCATTCTTCCAATAGCCCCTTCCTGCTGATTAGAGAACAGTCCAGGCCGGACAGAGTCTAATGTATTCCAGGTCACAAAACCTTCTCTTACTCCTGGAGTTGTTTTTGTTTGTTTGTTTGTTTTGTTTTGTCTTTGTCCCTGGACCCTGGGTAAAGCAATATTCTCCTAAATGAAGCTGGGGTGGGGAGGGAAATGGGATCCATATGCTTTGGGGAATTATCAGGCCCTGAAATAACAAGGGTATTAATAGTAAAGCTGTTGGTTTCTCGTCTCTTGAATGGTGGTGTTTTCTCTTTTGGAAGCTCAAGCTAGCATCCTTTGCAACTGGGAGAGACACAGCTCCGAGATTTCAGCAGCCCAGGGCAACTGCCATGCTCTGACCTATGAAAATAAGTCGTTTTCAATTGGTTTTGTTAAAAAAATAAATATGTGTGTTGGGGAAGGATATGGTTCAAGATCGGAGACTGAATTCCTGGCCCTGCTCAGTTGTGATAGCTCGACTGAGGGGCCAGACGTGAACCCAGAAGAAATTTCTGGACCTGTAGAAGCCTACATGTCATATGCATTATAGCATGAACCTGTCCCAGAACTTGAAAAGTCTGTTCTCCAGGGTGTCAGTTTCCTATAGATGACCTGTCAAAGAACTTAGGGAGTAAGTCACCTGTTCCAGCCACCTCCAAGACTCAACAAAACTATCAGTCATTGAAGCTGCACAGACAGTTCCCAGTGTGCCCTTGTAGCCTTCCCGAGGGTGGCCGTCTCTCAGGTGTCTGTAACTGAGCTGAGCTGGGTCCCTGGTGGTTATATTGGAGTGGAAGCTAAGTAGGTAGTAATCGAGAGCAGCAGTGTCCGTCCGGCCAGATGTGAGTAGGTGAACAGGTAGAAAGAAAGGGAAGATTCGGCAAGAAAGCAAAAGGCAGCTTTGGGCTGGGGAGATGGCTCAGTGAGTACAGAGCTTGCTTTGCAAGCACGGGGCCATAGTTGAGTCCTCAGAACCCATCAAATCGACGAGGTGTGATAGTGCCGGGTGCTTGTTATGCCAGCCCCAGGAGGCAGACCAGTGAATCCCTGGGTCCTCCTGACAACTAGCCTAGTCCAACTAGCAAGCTCCAGGCCAGTGAGAGACCTGCCTCAAAAGGCTATGTAGACAGCTCCTGACAAATGACACTCTGGCCCCCACCCGCCCACATATGCACTGGTAGGTACCCACTCACACGAACACGCACGCACACAACACACATATACTCATGTGCGCGCCCACACACTTGTGCCCACACACACAAACCTATAACATACAAATAATTTTTAAGCAGAGAAGTGTATTTGGGATCAAGATTCCAACAACTGAGTTATTGGCAACTGTAAGTGAAGTGATTCATCATGTTAGGCATGATCTACACTGTGATTAATTTACATTTCTGTACTATTCCACTTCTTGCCTAGATATGTTTATTTTAGTTATAAACATATTTATATTATATATCAATAAGCATTATGTATTATCGTATGCTATAAATTATTATGTTTATATCTACTATATATTATAAGTACACATACACACACATATGTGTGTGTGTGTGTGTATTTAATAGACGCAAAATAAAGGCTGAAGAATTGTCTTCACACCGTCTTCTCTGTTCCAGTAGGAAGATGCCCACCCACTTATTTCTCTGGTCTGTGCCCGACTATTTCAGATTTAAGGAGCGGAGGGCCTCACGCACTGTGAAGTAACTACCAGCAGACTGTTAAATGGATGCTCGAGCCAGAGGAAACTATTAATTAAGCAGGGCAGCATTGTTTGGCCAGGAGCCTGGGGGTGGTGCGTGGGGTCCAGATCTCCTTTTGGCAGCACAGCCTGGCACAGCCCCACGAGGGTGCAAATGGCCGTCATAATGAATCGTCGGGGCATTCAGAGGCCTGGGGATAGGATAGGATAGCACGGGGCACAGGAACTCATGAGTACTCCGTCAAAGCTTCTTAGGCACGAGGGTTCATGAGATGCGTTGGAACCCCTGGTCCATGCGCATAGCATCCAAACCTTCCCACAGGCTCCCATAATTGCTGGGACCCTTCCTTCTTTCCTCTCCAGCCCCCGCCAGAACCAAGGCTTCATCATCTCCTGTCTGGACTCGCGCTGAAGTCCCTTGCTGGCCAAGCCATGGTCAATCCTGAGCATGAATCTTTGTGTGTGTGTGTGTGTGTGTGTGTGTGTGTGTGTGCTCACATATTCACATGATATCATGTTATAACACACATGTAGAGGGCAGAGGACAACCCTGAGGGGTGGGTTCTCTC